CTTGAGTTGAGTACTCATTATGTGAATGAACTTATTCATCTAGCTGAACTTGTTTAAAATATGTCATACTTTAAAAATCTTACACTCACTGGATCCCTAACTGGAAGAACAGGATTTGTAATCCCTTGCTACCACCGAGATTCTTCACCTATACCATGACTACAGACAGGCAGCAGTCTTACATCAGCCCCACCACTCTTCAGAACGTAAACATTTGTATCCCTGTCCATACATGCTACCAATACCTACCACTTGCTAATTACCTACTACATGTCAAGCACTTTAACATTCAGTTAAATACTTAATGAGCATCTTCTATGTATAAAGCCTGTGCTGAGTACTTACAGTACAAAAAACGATTAAGACACAGTACCTGTCAAACCATATACACAGATAACAAGAAACTTAAAAACTACGTTGGGGAGGCAAAGCACCAGGGTAGGTTTCTTGGAGGTGTTAACACTTGAATCTTTGAAAGAGGAGTAGGAATTATCCTGACAAAGAACATTTCAACAGAGGGACCAGTTTGAGCAAGAGCACAGGGGTAAGAAATAGCATGATGTATTTAAAGAAACAATGCACAACTACTAGATGTCATTTAAGGGGGGTAAAACCAAAACTGGGTTGGGGTAGAGGAAGGCGGTCATAGAGATAGGAAGATGATGGCAGGTTATGAGGGGACGTAGACCTTATCCAACAGGCAAGATAAATGTGTGGCATTTCCCAATCCAATGTTTTTTTTTTTTTTTTCTTTTTCTCCTTTTGAATCCAATGTTCTTTCCTCCTGCTCCAAACCTGCTCAAATACCCTTCCTTCAAAGCATAATTCAAATCCTACCCCAAAATGATTCTACCCTCCTCAGAAGTCCTAAAAGCATATCTCAAAATAATGGAATGAAAGCTGTAGCAAATCTGGAGAAAACAGACTACATTTTGATTATACTGCTGGTCCAGAGATCAAACTTTGACAACCACTAATCTACACTAGCCAGGGTTTGGCCAATTTTTTCTATAAAGGGCCAAACAGTAAATATTTCAGACTTTGTGTGTCACACACAGTCTCTACAGCATTTCATGCTTTTGTTTGTTTTTAAAACAACCCATTAAATACTAACAACCATTCTTAGCTACTGGGCCTTACCAAAAAAAAAAAAGGGGGGCTGCAGCTAATCCCTGCTACACACCCATAGAGAAGTGAGAATGAACCTTCCTATAAGATTAATTTTCCTGGCTGGGCGAGGTGGCTCAAGCCTGTAATCCCAGCACTTTGGGAGGCCGAGACGGGTGGATCACGAGGTCAAGAGATCGAGACCATCCTCGTCAACATGGTGAAACCCCGTCTCTACTAAAAATACAAAAAATTAGCTGGGCATGGTGGCACGCGCCTGTAATCCCAGCTACTCAGGAGGCTGAGGCAGGAGAAT